TTAAAAAGCTTAAAGGTAAGTGACTCACTAGAAGGTATCTTCCACATATTTAATAAGAGAATAATGCGAGAATAAGTAAAGAAAGATGGTAAGCCTACTTCTGGCACACACAGCAGTCCCCCCATATCCACAGCAGGGTACTGTCTAAGACCCCCAGAGGATGCCTGATGTGGATAGGACTGAACCCTAGATATACACTATGCTTTTTCCATATACATACATACCTATGGTATAGTTTAACTTATAAATTAGGCATTATAAGAGATTAACAACAATTACTGATAAAAAACAAATAATGTATTGTAATAAAAATTATGCGAATGTGGTTTCTCTCAAAATATCTTATTGTACTGGGCTCACTCTTCTTGTTAGGATGATGTGAGATGATAAAATGCTTATGTGATGAGATGAAGTGAGGTGAATAATACAGGCACTGTGACAGTGCGAGGCTACTCCTGAGTATCTGACAAAACTTCAGAAGGAGGATCACCTGCTTCTGGACCACAGTTGACCGTGGGTAGCTGAAATTACAGAAAGTAAAACCCCAGATAAGAGGGGACTACTGTAGGTTAGCTCAAAACAGCAGTACCTTTTTGTAAGGAAATGTAACACAGTGTGGCTGGAGTCCATAAGCCATCCCTACCTCCTCCCTTTTTACCTAGAGACAACAATGATTAAAAAAAAAAATACTAAATAGAAAAATGGGCAAAGAATATGAACAAGTAATTCATCGGACAGAAATAACCCAAATGAAAACCTATGCAACAATGCAGTTTTGCTTGTAATTGGAGAAATGAAAATGAAAACAAAGTAATTCTGTAACCACTGGACTGAGAAAAATTTAAAAAAGCATTAATTGGTACACTTTTTAGAAAGCAATTGGGCAGAATTTATTATTTAAAGAACATCACAGTTCTCTACATAGGAATCTATTTCTTATAGGAAACCTGGCACCTTAGCACAAAGACATATAGAGATGATCATCTACTGCATTGTTTCTAACAGTGAAAAATGTAAATAACCCAAATGCCCAACAGAATAGTTAAGTAAATCATGGCAGTTGTTAAAAGGGTGAGATAAACCCCTATGTTCTAATAGCCTTATAAGAACATTAAGTAAAGGAGAAAGTTGTAGAAAGGTATATGATCCTGCTTACATAAAAACAAAAGATAATATGTATATAGGAGTGAGAAAGTATGACAGACTGAAATCCTGATCTAGTGAACATACTTTGCTCTGAATGTCTGTGTTGTTTCTACCTTTCTATAGGAAAGTATTTAGAAGTCCTTGTATTAATTTTTAAATAGAAACAAAAATGTTTGTTAATGTGAATGTTGTCTATCTGAATAATGGAACTATAGAACTCAGTTCTAACAATTTCCCATTATGAACGGTTTGAATCTTGAAGACAAGGTAATTGCTTCTTCAGATTAAACTAGTAAGCTAATCTTCTTGTATTACAGTTAACTAACTGGGCCAATCTGTTTATAGTCCCTTAACTGTATTATACAGTCTTTTAAAACTGTCATATTAAATGTCTTAAGTTTCATATTTTTATTCTCTTGCTCTAAAAAGTCATCAGTAGGTCCCTTAGCTGGTTTTAGAATTCAAAGCCATACCCAATATTCTCTCAAACTACTTGTGCAAAGTATCTTCCCACTTCCCAACCACAACAGAACTTTTTCTCCATCTCAGCCAAATAGGTCTCTTGGTTCCCAAATGAACAGATCTGGTGCACCCAACCCCCAATCATTCACACATCTATAAGGTGTTAACTGTATTGCCTTCTCTCTGGTAATTTTTCACCCAAGATTTTTATACAAAACTATAGGCACCCAAGGGCCGTAATGCAGATTACATAGTGAACAGAGTTAAACACATTAGCTCAAGAATGTAAATTATGGGGGTGCCTGGGTGGCTCAGTTGGTTAAGCCTCTTGATTTTGGCTCAGGTCATGATCTCAGGGTCCTGAGATCGAGCCCCATGTTGGGCTCCGCACTGGGCATGGAGACTGCTTAAGATTCTCTCTCTGCCCCTCCCTCCACCCCTGCTCATGCTCTCTCTCTTAAAATAAAAAAGAACGTAAGTTATGTACAATAAATGAAATTTACATTTTTTTTAATGTTTTATTTATTTTTTCATGAGAGTCAGAGAGAGAGAGAGGCAGAGGCAGAGGGAGAAGCAGGCTCCCCGCCTAGCAGGGAGCCCGATGCGGGACTCGATCCTAGGACCCCGGGATCATGACCTGAGCCGAAGGCAGACGCTCAACCATCTGAGCCACCCAGGAGCCCCATGAAATTTACATTTTTATCCATCACTTTCTAAGATCGAAGCCTGAAGCATGTTCTATGCTTACAATAAATAGCCATTTTGGTTCAAGTAAGTTATTTGAATTCTACTCCAAAATCAATAGTCTAAGAATTAAAACCATCAATTCTGAATAGTTCTGTGACCTTTGAGCAAGTCTAGGTTTCTTTATTTGTAAAATGTTGATAATGAACATGTTTCTCCTAATGGGAGATAATGTAAGCAAACAGGTAGCAGAGTATCCAGGAAAACATGTCCAATATTACATTCATCCTGTGACTAGGAAATCCCAACAGAACTGAAGAATTATGTTATCACTACTTTAAAATTTATTAATATTTATTCAATCAATGTTGATATGATGATTAATATTTGAGGTAGTATAGAAAGAGCATGGCTTTGGAGTTAAACAGATGTGACAGAATCTTCAGTCACCACTTCAGAGATGAGAAACCTTGGGTAAACCACAATCTCTGATCCTCAGTTCCCTCATATGTTAAAGGGCATACACACCATTAACTAAGACACAGAACTACAGTGAGGACTATGTGAGATGATAATTTATGAAAAGATTTAAATAAGGTATCTAGCACAAAAAATTATCAGGTTCCTTGATCTTAAATTTTAATGCCCGTAATTTATCTAAATTTTACTAATGTAAAGTTAATTCAGCAAACATCTTTTGAGCACTTACTATGTACACTACACACTATACTGAGCACTAGAGATAAACTAGTCAACAAAAACATGTATCATCTCTGTCTTCATACAGGTGAGCATTCTGGAGGCAGTGGGACAGGCATTAATGAAATAATCCAAATGCCAACCGTGCTAAGTGCTATGGAGAGGTAAGCTAAGGGGGCATATAATAGTGGGGTTTGCCCTGATCACAGAAATTGAGAAAAGCTGCCTTAGGGAAAATTCTCACTTGTAGTGTGAGTATGAAACATAGATATAGCAGGAGGAAGAGTGCTCTGGGCGGAGACAATAGAATATGCTTTATCTTTTGAATGTCTATACAGCTTTATATATACCCTAATAGCTTGTACCTCTGGCAACTAAGTGCAAGGGACTGAAACAATAGTGTAGCTGGCACAGATGATAAAGACTGCCTAGTGACCAAAGATGCAGAGCTTTGTGGAGCACATTATCTTAAAGGCAATGGCAAATTGTTAAAGGGTTGTAGGATTTATACTGTTTATTATCATTGTTGCTGTCATTACTGGATAGATGGGATCACAGTATTTCACAACGGTCTGGCTACATTGTGAAAATGAATTCGAGGTCAGGCAAGAGTAAGTTTAAGCATACCAGTTTGGAGACAAAGAAATGATTAAGAACTTAAAAGAGATTACATTGGCGGGAATGGGTGGCTCAGTCAGTTGAGTGTTCGAGTCTTGGTTTTGGCACAGGTCATGATCTCAGGGTTGTGAGATCAAGTGCCAAATTGGGCTTTACACTGAGCATGGAGCCTGCTTAAGATTCTCTCTCTCAGGGCACCTAGGTGGCTCAGTCGTTAAGTGTCTGCCTTCGGCTCAGGTCATGATCCCAGGGTCCTGGGATCGAGCCCCACATCGGGCTCCCTGCTCCATGGGAAACCTGCTTCTCCCTCTCCCACTCCCCCTGCTTGTGTTCCCTCTCTCGCTGCGTCTCTGTCAAATAAATAAAATCTTTTAAAAAAAAGATTCTCTCTCTCGCCCTCTGTCCCTCCCGCACACTCTCTCTTAAATAAAATAATAATAATAGTAATAATAATAAAGTAGAAAAATTCTAGGGATAATCAGGAGATAAGTTCAATAGGACTAGATAACAGTGTAAGTGAAAGGAAAAGTCAGGGGCAATTTTTAGATTTGATTTGTATTACTAGTTGAATGCTAATTCTATTTTCAGATATACAAAGATGACCAGATATGAGAAGGAAAGGTTACGTATTCAGTATTGTGGACACAGTATTGTGCAAGAACAGCTGACCCTTGAATGACACAGGTTTCAACTGTGTAGGTCCACTTTATACATGGATTTTTTTTCCCTCTACACTCAGTACTATAAATGTATTTTCTCTTATGATTTTAATAACATTTTTTTCTACTTTATTGTAAGAATACAGTATATAATACATAATAACATGCAAAATATGTGTTAATTGACTATTATCAGTGAGGCTTTCAGTCAACAATAGGCTATCAGTAGTTAAATTTGGGGGGACTAAAAAGTCATATGCAAGTTTTCAACTTCGGGGGGGCAAGGAGGGGTTTCAGCGCCCCTAACCTCACCTTGTTCATGGGTCAATGGTATTTTTTAATTTTTTTTTTTTTTTAAGATTTTACTTACTTATTTAAGAGAGCACGAGAGAGCACAAGCAGGGGAGAGGGAGGAGCAGGCTCCCCGAGGAGCAGGAAGCCTGATGTGGGGTTTGATCCCAAAACCCTGGGATCATGACCTGAACCACCCAGGTGCCCCTCAACTGTATTTCTTCAAATTAACAACAACAGCAACAAAAAGCCCAGTTCTTGCCACCTCCTACTCAAAGTCCTACAATGGATTTCCATCAAATTCTAAACACAACTCCTGACAGACATACAATTATGATCTGGCTCTTTGCAATCTCCTGACTTTCCCTCCTACCCCTTTATCCAGTGGTCACTTTCACTTCAAAAGCATTGGCCTTCTTGAAATTACTGATACACTCAAAGTTCATTCTTCCCTAAGGACTTTTGCACTTACTCTTCCTTCAGCCTGTAATACTTTTTCCCCAGGTGTTCATAGTGCTTGATCCCTCATATAATAGAAGTCCATGCTCAGATGTTACCCTTTCAAAGAATCTTCTTTGACTATCCTATATAAAATAGCCTTCCTGCTGAGAGGTTGGCCTGGAAAGGTAGAATGAAATCTTCTATAGTCTTGGTATGCTAAAGGAAAAGGCCTGTTGTACATAATACAAGTCTTACCCTCAAGACTTTTGAAACAAGTGGACTGAGTCAACCTAAAGCTGTACCCCAAGACCAACTCCATGGATTGAGGTAATCAATCCCTACAATGAGTAACAGAAAAGGAGATAAATCTTCTGGGGGGAGGAGAAATCACATCAACTTCAACCCTTCAGTTCTTTTATACACACTGTCCTGCATAAAAGAAAAAAATTGCAAGCCCTAGATACAGGGAGAAAGAAATATGATCAGGAAAAATGTGACTAATAATCAAGAAAGAAAAATCAGGTAATAGATTATGACCCACAGATGATTCAGATGTTGGAGTTAGTTATAGAATTCAAATCTCTGCCAGCACTGTTAAGAAGAAAAAAAAAAGGAAACGAGTAAAGAGACTTTCAATAGAGAAATGAAATCTATAAAATATAATTAACTGGACACTCTAAAACTAAAAAATTCACTATTCGAAATTAACTAATTGGATGGGCTAAATGGAAGACTGCACAAGGTAGAACACAAGATTGGCAAATCTGAAGATGCATCAACTGGAAATATCCAAACTGAAGCACAGAGAGAAAACAAGAGTAGAAAGAAAGGGAAGAAAATAAAGAGCACATGGGACACAAACAGTACAACATATTTATAACTGGAATGTCAGAAAGAAAGAAGCGATAATAGAGTACAAGTAATATGTGAAGGGATAATGACCAAGAATTTTTTTTAAAACTGATAGAATATATCAACTTGCAGATTCCAGAGCTCAGTTAACCCCAAGCAAGATAAAATGAAAACCATAAGCAGGCCCAACACAGCAAACTGCTGAAAACAAAGATAAAGAGGAAATCCTAAAAGCCAGGAAAAAGACACAGGACCTACAAGGAGCAAAGTTTTTCAGCTGTTTTGCAACAGAAAATATGAAAACTAGAAGAAAATAGAATGCAAAGTTTCAAACTGCCAAATAAATAAAACTGCCAATCCAGAATTCTGTATCCAAAGAAAATACTCTTTAAAAATGAAGGTGTGATAAAGACCTTTCAAACAAATGCTGAGTTGACTGGCACTATAAGCAATACTAAAAGAAGTTCCTCGGGCTGACAGAAAAGGAATTAAGATGACAGCACAAAACTATCAAAAGAAAAGAAAAAAATAGCAAAGAGAAGAGAAAATGTATATGTAAATAAGAAAGAACACTATTTAAAGTAATGATATTGTGGGATTTATAACCACAAAATATATGAAAACTATAGCACAAAGAGTGGGGAGGCAACAAATGGAGTTGAACCGTTTTAAAGTTCTTGAACTGTTCAGAAGGTAGTAAAAGCATTAATATAACACAGACTATAATAAGCCAAACACAGATACTATAATCTGTAAGGTAACCACAGAAAAATAATACAACCAAGCATAACTAAAAAGCAAATAGCAGAGATAGAATAATAGTAAGTACAGATGACCCTTGAACAGCAGGAGTTTGAGCTGGATTCTTTTTTGATATAGTAGAGTGGTGTAAAAGTATTTACTCTTCTCTATGATTTTCTTAATAATTTCTTTTCTCTAGTTTACTTTTTAAGAATACAGTATCTAATACGTACAACATACAAAATATGGGTTAATCAACTATGTTTTTGGTAAGGCTCTCAGTCAACAGTAGGCTATCAGTAGTTAGTTTTTGGGAACTCAAAAGTTCTATGTGGATTTTCAACTGTGTGGGGTTGGCACCCTTAATCCCCACACTGCTCAAAGGTCTGAGTACCTGACTGAGTCAAAATAAGTTAGGAAAAGGAGCAAATAAAGGAATAAAGAAAAGACTGGCAAAAAAGATAGCAAGGTTTAAAACCTACTACATCAGTAATTATACCAAAAGTAAACAGTCTAAACACTAAAGAACAAAGATTCTAAGACTAGATAAAAGAACAAGATGGAAGTATAAAATGTTAACATAATGTACATTTTAAACATAAGGATATATATAAATAGGTTGAAAATAAAAGGACAGAAAAAGGTTTGTCATGCAAACAAAACAAAACTGGTACGGCTATATTAATATCAGACAAAGTAGGCATAAAGTATTTGTACAGATATCAAGTGACATTTTATAATTATAAAAGTGTAACTTCATCGTAAAGGCATAATAACCCGATAGTTTATGTGCTAAGTAACATAGCTCCAAAGTATACAAAATAGTTTCTCCTCTAATCATTTCTACTGTCTATCTTGCTTTTCCTTTTCTTTTCACCACACTTCTCACAATCTGACATTTATATTATATATTTAATTATTGTTTCCTTATATCCCCACCCGCTTGTGGAGAACGTAAGCTCTGCAAGGGCAGGGACTTACTCTATCTAGATCACACTTTATTCTCTGTAACTAGCCTAACACATAGTAAGCACTCAATAAATATTTGCTGAACAAATGAATAAAAGTGCCACTAGCAACTTATATTCAGTGCTTACTTTTAAAGTTTATAGGATACATTTATTTTCTCCAGTTATGCAATCCTTTAACTTAAATAGTACTTAGCAATCTCTGTTAGTCAAAATTTTACATAAGAAGTTTAAACAAAAAGCTTGAAAAAATGTTACTAGGAAATACATTTCCTTTTCATGCAACAAAGGCTCCAAAATCAAAAATCATCAAAATGTGCCTTTCTTCATTTAGTAAACATATTTAAATATATATATTAATACACATAAATAAAATAATACAATTACATATTAGCTTTCATGTTTATTCAGCTTCACAGAAAATCCAAAAATGTGTCTGAAATTGGTTATCTATCTAAATACCAATTGTTCATTATGGTGACATAATACTATGTGGTAGGGGAGATACACCTAAGTTAAACAAATTCTTAAATTCCTGACAATCTTCAAGTGGGCAAAAGGAAATCTGAAAAATCAAACTTACAAGTTGTAAGAAGATACAGAAAGTAATGTAACCTTTAATACCTGGAACAAGTTCTACAGCCACATTTGTAATTTACATATACAGTGGAGATCACTGAAAAAAAGCTTCCTGTTGCACTGCAGCAAGAAATCTTATTATAATGTAGATTAAATGAACTTGCTACAGAGTGCAGCAAGATAACCTCACTGAAGACTCATAAGATTTTCATAATGGAACTTGTTACAGTGAGTTGAATATTTCCTTAATTTTATACAGTACATATTTTTCAAAATGAACATTATCACTGAAGACTTTGCTAACCACTGTTAGCAATTACTGTTGTATAACATACTTAATTTTACTTTAGTTATAGTATGTGGCTCTCCAAATGTTAGCATATGAAATGTTAAGTTTAAACATAATAAAATAATCCCCTAAGATGAAGACTCAGGACATCAAAACTTTGATCATTATTGCACCTATTTTTCTACAGAAAAATGGAAAATTTACATCATAATCCTCCCAAAAAGTGAACAGACAAGTTGTAAAATCACAGACTTATTGGCATTAAACAAAATCTACAACGCACATTTTTTGTGAACTGATGTACAGAATTAATGTGCAATGAAATTTGGTTAACTATGATCATGCAAATAAAAATCCTCCACAATCATGTTTTCATTATGTTTTATAAAATGGTCTTAAAGATATACTTCCATAAACATTTCCGGTGCAATTTAGTCAATGACAAAAATACAAAGCTATCCCTTATTCTTTATTTTATAGATTTAAAAACATGCCTTTGTACTGCTGAGATACAAATAGCGTGTTTGGGAGAACTGAGCTCATTAAACGGTTAAAAACCAATGCATCTTGGTCCAACATTAGCTGCCCTGTATACAGCAGCCTCCCATAATCACTGGTGTCAGTATCTTACTTGATGAAGAATGAAGAACAGTTAAATATTGAGAGATTAAGACATAATTCAAAACATTTTTTTTAAATTAAAGGCCGTTTCATAAACATGAAGAAATCTTTAAAAGAAAAATAATCACATCAATTGTGATATACATTGGAAAATAGTAAAATGTCATTTTCCAAAATAGTTTCTTTATTATATCCCCCATCTATTATAACCAATCTTGGAAATATACCTTAAACATAATGGTGTATTATATGAAAATGCTCCATTATTCAATGTGATAAATTTAATAAGTTAGGATATGATTTTCTTTTCCGATGTTAACTGTGGAAAAAACAAAAGAACAGCACCTGAAATACTACAGTGAATTTAGGCAAGCATTAAGTAGTAACTTTTATGTTTTGGTTCAAAATACAGTTTACAAAACTGTATAAAGGATACTGACTTAAGTAATTTGTTTCTATATTTTGCAGATTACGATGAAAAAAAAAAAAAGAACTGCTCTAAATCCAAATAAATTTCCACTTCTCCTAATCTAGATGAAGTGGAATTTCATTCAAAATTTATAAGATTGTGATACCTACAGTAGCTCAGATAGTTGGATATATCACTCCCACCCTGTCCTTCCCCCCCCCCAAGAACAAGTTTTTGGCTCCAAAATAAAGTACAATAATAAACTCTTGATGAAAAACTATGTTATGGGGCAATCTATCATATACTATGGCTAAATATGAATTTACAGAAAAGAGCACATCCCATTTTCAGCACTTTTTCATAAACATGCAACTCACTATAAAATACAAAACACTTGCTTTCAAGAACAGCTTTATAAAGACACACTGCATCAATAAAATTTTTTCTTTCTGATTAACTTTACACTGTTATGGAGAACTGGAACTTTTCTATGTGTATATATCAGATTTTATATTATAGTGTAATAATTTGCATCTTCTGAACATAATGTTCAAGAGGAAATATCTATACACAATAACATTCTAGACTATTAAAAACTAATTCAAATTACAGAATTTTATTGATACAGTAGATTAATAAAAACTGAAAAGGGATGATGATAAAATGGGATAAAGAATTCAGTACATTATTTTATAACACACTCTTTAAAATTAAAATATTTTAAATCTCTCTTTTCTTAAAATTTTCATTGCCATGAAAGGCCAGAAAATTCTGAGACCAATACTGAGGTGTAAAATAATCAAACTTCAGGATTATTTCACAATTTGCGTGGTGTCCTCCCATCGGAGGCACCATTCAGGTGTAATGGCAGACAATATAGCACCTCTGAAGATTAAGGGTGCCTAGGAGTAAACACTAGGTAAGATACACAAGGGAAAGAGACCATTTAACTCTCCAACAAACAATGACATCAAGAAAATGACACCATTTGTTGAAAAAAATTTTTCACAGTAAAATTGCAGAGAATACAAATACTAACACTGACAGATTACTGCTTAAGATCTATCCTAACAAACTCTTTCCAAATCAATAGATCCAATAAACAGTTGGGTACTGTCAGTTTAAAGCCGCAGATAAAAGCTATACAAGCACTTTAGAAGTCAGAAACATTAAAGAAAGAAAGAAAAAGAAAGAAGAAAAAGAAAGAAAGAAAGAAAGAAAGAGAAAGAAAAGAAAGAGAAAAAAAGAAAGAAAAAAAGAGAAAAAATATATTTACAAGTTTCTTCTTTAGTTTATGTCTACATAGCCATCGGACATCACACTTCCACAAGACTCCATAGTCAATGTTATCACCACGCGTATGGCTAAAGCGCTGTGACCGCAAAACACATGAGGTCATCAAAGGAAGTTCCAACTGTCCACTCTCTGGCAGTCCCGCTTTGTGCATCAAAGGCTTTACTTAGCCTCAAGCTTGACAAAAAAAAATGTTTCTTCTCAAAGCTTTCACATAGAAAGTTATTAATTACATTTGTTCATCGCCTTTCTCTTTTAGAACTTCGCCGCCGTACCTTAAAAGAAAAATTACCAGATGCTTAATTAAAATACTAGACACAGCAGACAGCTTTTCCCACAATAGAGAAAGAAAAAACTATTTTACTTTTCTATTTAATAATTTTAAAGAGAAATGAACAGAAATCAATGTCAAGAGCAAGAAAAACAATTGCAAATATTTTTTCACTCATGTTTCTGTGGTAAAAGAAAACATTTGATCCTTATGAACTTAGGCTTACAGCCGTCTTTCTGAGAAAAGTTATTGAATGTGGATCATAACAATCATTAAATACATAGAAATAATCTGAAATTCAGACATATTACAATTTACTGGCAAGTACTAATGAAAGCATAACACTTTACTTTAAAAAAGACCAGTATAAAGAGGAATATAAACAGAACAGGATTTTAATTAAATTTATGGTGTTTTTGTTTTTGTTTTGTTTTGATGAAGACACTAATCACAATGAACTCTTTAGCCTTATTTTTATATTGAAAACAATAAACAAATACTTTAAGAAACAAGCCCAACAAGTTTGAGACCACACAATTCAGATATTTTTCTGTGGTCTTAACCCCCCTTCACAACCCTGGTCCAATCATAAGTGCTGATTATGTTAAATAGCACAGAGGGGTGGGGGTCAACTCTGGGACTACATCTCAGAACACAGGCTTCTCAAACAAAGATGGCTGGCAGTACTGATTCAAAGACTCAGCATTAGTGTATCATCTAGAGAATACACCTTACTTAAATGTGTTAACTGTATTTCTTCCAACGAGAACCACTCAAGATGTGTTAACTGACAAAGCCATTCTTAAAAAAAAATTATCTCAGGAAGAATCACATTCCTACTTTTGTAAAAGAAAGGTCTATTACCAATTTTATAAATTTTAAAGACGTGATTTTATCCTATATGGTTAACTTCTAGTTTCTACTGTGAAACTCAAAGAAAAAAGTTAAGAAACATAAACCACAGTCTATTTAACATATAACAGTGCTCTAAAATCAAGGTACAACTTAAATGCCTGAAGTGTCAATATCAGACAGCTACTTGTTCTTCTCTACATTCAGCTTTCAACTTGATATTTACACTTTCACGAGGCTACAGCTATTATTCTCACTTAGAGTCTCAGTATTCCATAAAGGATGCTCTCTAATTATTCAAGCTGGTAGATGAAACAACTCTACAAACTAATGAAGAAAAGCAAATAAATACTTAGACTTATAAGTAAGAGCAAGTGCTATATGTATCTTACCAAACATTTACCAACTCTATTCTATATTCTATACTATCACACATGGTACTTTAATAAACACATACATTTACTGTAGAAACTTCCTCTTCCTCTGTTTCTTCCTGTGGAATATCATCATTGACAGGAGAGCTACCCTGAAACACATCAACTTCTTCACTTGAATCATTTTCTTTAGTAGCTGCTTGTTTGGAGCGTCCTACACGGCTAGAGTAAAACAGATATAAAATAAAATGAACATTCTGATCTTTAAGTAGTAGAAATACTTTAAATATTTCATAAATTCTCATTTACTATCATTTTTATCCTTCATTACCTTACAAAACAAGAAATATTTTTCTTATTCTAAACCCTAAACCAATGTTTAATCCTAGAATCTCACCTACAAACACTGACCAAGTAACAAAATCATGTGTGACTGAGACCAATACCATAAAGGATTTTAAAACATAAACCAAAGTCTGCTCTTCCTTTTATCTTTCCCAACTCAGTAAATGGCATCTGTATCTCCTGAGCTTCTCAAAACAGAAAATTTGGAGTCCTTCTTACTACTGTACCACTCTTCATCTGGCCCCATAATTCTTACAAAGAAATCTCAAATCCTATTCACTTCTCTCCACCTCTATTGCTTCTACATTTCCAAACCATTCTCATCTCTTTACCTCTTCTCTAAAATGTAAAAACAGCTGATGTCACTCATTCCCCCTCGGTAACTCCCTGCTACACTGAGAGAAATTCTATAATCCTCCTTAATATAGTATATAAGGCCCTGCAGACAGTCCTGGGGTACCTGTCCCTTCTCCTCTCTTTCTACTCCCCAATTCCTCACAACTACACTGGCAAATTCTTGCCTTCCTTCAACTCTCTGAATTGGCCAAGATTTTTCCTACTTTGGAACCTTCAAATCCAATATTCCCTCCAATTGTGTTCTTCCTGTTTTCCATCAGCCTAACTCCTACTATTCTCAAGAAATCAACTGTCACTTTCCAATTCCCTAGCCCTTCCATTACTTTCTCTTACAGTACCCTAAATTTTCATCAGGGCATATATCACAATTTAGAATTCCATATTTAAGTGTGATTATGCAATACATGCCCATTTAGATGGTAAATCCCATAAGGACAAGAATCATGTCTATTCTGTGCCACCATATCCCCCAGTACCTCATACTCTCTGAAACACAGGAGGCAATGAAATATATGTAATAGATACCACCATTTAATCAAATGTATCCCTCTCGATATTTTTCTATCTGCATATATATTCTTTCATTAAAAACTTTTTTTTTATTTGAGTGCAGTTGACACACGTTACCTTAGTTTCAGGTGTAGTGATTCAACTTATTTATACATTATGCTATGCTCACCCCAAGTGTAGCTACCATCTATCACCATGCAATGCTACTACAATATCACTGACCATATTCCCTACACCGTGCTTACGCATTCCCAAACTGGAAGCTCGTTATCTCCCACTCCCCTTCACCCATTTTGCTCATACTCCCACCCCCACTACCCTCTGGCAACCATCACCTTATTCTCTGTATGGTAACTTTTTTTTAAAATTAAGAATACAGCTTATCACTTCTCTTAGGTAATCCAAAGTATTGTTTAATCCACACTCAAACCAAGTAATTTTTTTTACTTGATTCAGTTTTTCTCAATTCCACTGAGGTCAGAACAAGAAAAACAGGCAGATCATAACATATGTTATTCTACTAGTTCTAAAAAAAAGAGGTTCCCCATGAAGGGAAGATACACTGTTAAGACAGAATATAGAGGTTTTTTTGCACTGATTTTTAAAAGAAATACTTGTTTGGTTTAGAACATTCATATGAGGAAATGACATGATAATCATTTAAGTCCTTAATTTTTTGATGCCCAAATATAAACAAATTACAGTTATGAGCCTGAATGATATTTCTGCTATTTCCTCATTATAAAATTAATTCTGGAAATTTAATATTCCTTAAGAATTTGTTTAAAAAACAGTTATTTTCCATAATTGAATCCAAACACATTTACAAAGTTATCACAAAAATATACTTACCTTTACTTTTTTACCCAAGGAAAAAAATTAAATGGAAGAGGGCATGAAGTAGCTAGACACCCAGGCAACTTTTCCTCTTCCTGTGGAATACACAGGAATAGGAAATACTTCTAAGGTAAGTATTTAGCCAAGGCACGCTGGCAAGTCTGAAAAGCCAACGCACTGATGTAATTATGTAATGGGATTACTCTCAGGAAAACTGCAGAATTTCTGACTAATGGAAGACATGCTATTTTAGTTCCACTTAAATAACTTGAGAAAAAAGGGCAAAATATACAAATTACAGTACGGATGTTCCTGCTACTTTAATAATCTTAGGTACAGATTTGTTATTGTAACTTCTTATAAACATATGTTTGTGTGAACTTCTAAAACTATTTATATGTAGGTATGGATGTGTTAATTTGATTAGAAAAGAAAAATTCAAAACATCAAAAACTTCAGATCTACATGTGATAATTTCAGTGGATATAATTTAAAGAAAAATAATGGCTGTTACTTTCCTACACAATTCAAAGAATAAAAGCAAAAATGTAAAAACTATTTTTTTTTAAGTTGCTGAGGAAAGACATTAAGAAAAACTGTAGTGTGGAATGACAAGGCAACCTGGTCAGTACGATGTGATTATTTAAAAATACCTTCTCATCTCTTTAGGTACTATAAAGTCTGTATTGGAAATGATAAACTATATGTTATTCATTTAAAAATATTTGCCTAAAACCTGTAAAAAATGTACAAATATTATCAGAGAGTTAATTGGGATATCAATCACTTAGGTAAGTTTATAAAAATTTTATCTTACCTAGTGTAATGGGAGTAAATATATGAGATTTTAAATATAGCCCTATGTATATTTAAAAATTTATGAACTTTTGCAAAATAATTTGAAACTGGTTTGAAATTTAATATTATTTACAACTTACACATTTTTTTTTGGTTGTGATGGTGATGGCGTTTTTGATGGTCTTCCTCGTCCTTTCTGTGGTGTGGATTGTGTGGATTCAACTGCACTAGTTTCAGGAGATTCTGCTCTGCTTTGGAGAAGACCCAAATGTGCATAGCATCAAATTATGATTTATAACATAGTTACGAAACATATGCAGTTTAGAGTTGCACGTACTTACCTCTGTTGTGCTCTCCTTGATGTTCGGTGTTGTTTGCTCTTTGACTTCTGTTCTGTATTTCCACTTTGTCTTTCTTCTTCTTCCTCTTCTTCTGGTGCTGAAGGTCCAGATTTTTTTTTGGTTCCTTTTTTAGAAGTTTTCATTGTTGGCTCTTCTTTTGGTGTACCTCCACCAAGAGGTTTAGGTGGTCGGCCTCTTTTACCTTTCTTTGGTGGACTATTCTGTTCATCCTCATTTTCTAATATATCTTCTTTGAGCCTCTTTTCTTCAGGCCACTGCTGTTCATCTGATTCTGAAGCCGTATGGCCTCTCTTCCGTCCACGCTGACTACCTTTAGGTTTCTGTTCCTGTACCAACTTAGTGAGGTCATCCATACCTAATTTTTCTTCTGAATCTGTGACAGGTGTTTTTTTCCGGCTTCTAGGTTTGTCCAATTCAGACTAGGAATAAAAACCACAATTTCAAACATAAAATTGTAAGTGTGCATATTTTGAAAAATAAAACAAAAAACATGCTATCCACTTTGTCATGAAAATGTGCTTAAATAAAATGTAGAGTTCTTAAACACATCAGAACCGTTAACTACTTGTATTTTAACTAAAAAAATTATCCAGGGTAAGAGGATAAATTTTTATTTTTACTTAAGCTAGAGAGCCTCAAATGGAAACCTTTCAAGATCAGTATTTTATTAAATTATACATTTTAATGAAGAGCTATTTATTTCATTTAAAAAATTTCTAAATTCCTTGCATGAACAATGGATAACTATACTAAAGTACAATGGATCTGCTTTGATAGTCAATTTAAGTAATTCTAATTTTACTACACAGTATTTAAGACATAAAATATCAACTATGCTATATATCATGCTTAGACACCATAAAAAACTTTTATTTTATAAACAGAGGTTGCAAGTTACAAAAGTTAAACATATTCATCACTTATTAAAAATTTTGAAAACACTTCTGAATCAAAGATACTGCTTCTTTTCATGTACAACTAATTAAAAACAAAAAAACAATTTAAATTATTTAATTGGTACTCAAATTTAAAATAAAAGCCTAGTCTACATTCAGAGAATTTAGGCACTGAGCAGAAGATGCAAACTGAGGAAATTCTCCAAAGAAATCAAGAACAGTATGAACCCTTATAGCTTCTCCATACACATACATGTATAAAACCCATAAATAAATGTAAATTTTATTTCCAAAAAGTTTATGCCAATTTACATTCTTAAAAATCAGTGGTAGAAAAGAACAAAAATTATCTGATTAGTTTAATAGTCATTTTGTTTCCTGTCTACAAACTCCCTAATTATGCCACTGGTATTATGTTCTTTGCCCATTTGCATACTGGAGTCTTAGTATTTTAATCTACATTCTTGTGTATATTTAAATTTTAGTTCTATTTGTTATGGACTGAATTGTGCCCACACAAAATTCACATGTTGAGCTATAACCCCTAATGTTATGGTATTTGAAGAAAAGGTCTTTGGGGAGATACTTCAGTTAAGATGAGGTCATGAGGATGGGTGGGGCCCTCATTACAGAATTAGTCCCTTATGGGAAGAGACACCAGAGAGATCTCTCTGTCTCTCTCCACCATATGAGGACACAGTGAGAAGGTGGCCATCTGCAAACCAGGAAGAGAGCTCTCACCAGGAAGCAAATTGGCCAGCACTTTGATCTTGGAATTCCCAACCTTCAAAATGGTGAGAAAATTAATTTCTGTTGTTTAAGCCACCCAGTCTATGGTATTTTGTTATGGCAGCCTGAGCAGGCTAAGACATTATTGTATCTTAATAGGATTTGAGATGAAGTTTTAAACTGTTTTTCCTATCCACCCCCCAAAGAGTATTCCAAACATTTAAAAAAACCACTGACTTATAATGCTTCCTTTATTTTGTATTATGTTTTAAAAATTAATAATGTTTCTGAGCTATTGTAATAGCAGCATAATATTTTTACTAATTATAAATAAATACATTTGTGTCTGGCTGGGCTGATCTTATTATTACTCCTCTTTTTTATATTCATTTATTCTTCTACGTGGACTTAAAATCACACTGGAATTTTATAATTACATATATATTCATTTAGAAAGAATGAATAAGAAAAAGAATTTTCTTATTTATTTTTCCCATTACAGAACATGGTATGCCTTCTTTCTCTTCAAGTCTTGTATGTCTCTCAATTTGGACATCTCCACATAGTTTCCCCCGACTTCTTTTTTAAGGAAGTTTTAGATTGATGGATGTGTCTGTCTGTCTGTCTACCTACCTACATATTTTTGTTGTTGTAGTGGTTATTATGGTGAAGCAAATCTCCTTTCACCCAAGTGTATACTTGATATAAAGAAAAATTAACAGAATAAAGTTAGTTATGCACATACATACATCTATTTATATGGCTACCATGCTAAATTCTTAGTTTTTCAATTGCTTCTCTTATTTTTCTAAGAGTACAAAACAAATGAATGTCTCTTCTTTTTCACTGTCATATGTTTGACTATTTCACATCTTCCTGAATTTGTCAAACATTCTAGAACAATCTTAAATAATAGTGATGACAACAGGTTGCTTGTTTTGCCGATTTTCAATAAAAATGCTTCAAGCATTTTGCCTTTATGAAGAATAACTTAAGAGTAACTGAATGAATAACTACCGATTTAAATAGATAAAACTTTTAGCATGTTAAGGAAGTATCCTGCTGGTATTAGTTTATTAAGAGTTCATATGTATCAAGAATGGATTTTAAATTGTATTTATGTCTTCCTGACATGACCTGAGATTATCCTGTTAGTATTCTTATTTGGTATACTGATTTGCTATATTATATTAAAAGATTTCTTAGCATTAAATTATCCTTACATTCCAGGAAAAATAGACCTGTAAGTGACTGGTTTTAATTTGTTAATGTTTATTTAGAGTTTTGTACATAAATTAATAATTAATTGTTGTTACTCAGAGATGCATAGATAAGGGAAATACTGAACTAAAACTAAATTTAAAATTATCACCTCCAATTTAAAATGTTACAATTCATTTTGATGTCCAAAAATGTGTAAGGTAGTTGAATTCCTTTATGCCCTGGAAAAGGTTGGTGGTTAATAGGATATTCTATGTCTGCTTTCTTTAGAATACTATAAATAATCTAGTTTGCTGAAGCACTACCTTCTCTAGTTTCTTTTTCATTTTGCACTGCACGGTCTTAAGAACAGAGGGGGTATAAAACTGAGGTTTGAAGCAGGAAACAGGGAAAATATATTATCTGTAAAACTAAATATTTGAATATAAATGTATACGGAAAATAATTCCTGTGTGGTGAAATTTTAACGTCAAAGTGGTAGCATATGCAAAGACAGTACTCTTTCACTATAATCTACTGGTCTTTAAATTGAACTTCTGTCTCATAATGCTAACCTCTTTGAGGATATTTCAATTGATATTTATTAATAAGGTTCTTGTAGTATTTCCGAAAATGGATGCAATGTTACACAAAAGGAAGGCAAAGGCCTCCATTATAATCATACAAATCAATTTCAAAAGCTCAGAATTTCAAAACTTTTCTATGAAATATAGAGACTTTGTTCTTCGTTGCTCTAAAAGGTAGAACTAGATATAGAATTTATAGGATAACAAAACATTAAGAGTTCATCACAACCACATTTCCCAGTTTTGGGAGGATGTGGGGATAAGGGAGCAGGACAGTATGTGGGTATGGGTGGCCTAGTTGATGTTTCTAATAAATAGGAGAAATTATAAGCTCTCCACCTAAGGCATTTTCAAGCATGTGCTAACCAACTCTCATAAATGCTAATGAAGGAATTTCTGCATTAAGTGAGAAGTAGGACTAGAAGACATAAATACCTTTTCCAATCAAGGTTCTCTTCTATAAATCCAGATAACAGGATTCCTTTCTGGCTAAGCGATCAATTTTTAATTCTGCTTGGGCAAAATTTTTAAACAGCCAATAAAAATCAGAATTTACAGTATAAATAGTAAGGATTTAGTAAGAATTTTAGAATTATAATTTTTTAAGTGGAAGAAAAACCTGGTAAAACAAATTACTGGAGAAACTTCAAAACAACTGAAAATCATTTAAACTTTTTGGGATATGTAATGTTGGGCCAGTGGAAGATAAGAAGGGCAGTAATATTTCAGCGAAAGCAAAAGTATTTTATTAATAACCTTCCACCTCTACTAACAGAGTAGGTTCAAATGCATTAATTTTTACTTTAATTATTAATAAAAATATTGATCTTTATAATAATAAAACAGCAGCAACACCAATTAACTTAGGCTAATTCATTTATTCTGATAAACCTTACCAGCTAAGGAGCCACATTTAAGAGATAAAGAAACTGATTCAGACAGCCTCACTGATTATTCAAGAAATGTTTAAAGCTAACCTAGAAAGCCAAAATGTGTCCAATTATTAAGGCTATCAGATGGTGTTGGAATACATAACTGTATTCTATATCTGCACTAAAACAAATCTGTCTTTAAATGACATTTATAAATTGTTTCTATCATACAAGTTATCATTGTTATTGAAATCTAAAAACTAAAGGCGGCCTTTATGAAGACTGTAGCATTTCCTACTAGTAGCATTTCCTTACTAGAAGCTTATTTAGTAATGAAAGGCTCAAGAAATCATCTAAAATGGAGGAAACTTTAAGGACTCTTATTCTACCTCCCCCCTCCAACGCTAAGTTTAAGCTTACTGTGTTTTAAAAACAAGAACAACAACAACAACAAAAAACCCAAGCAGTTCTGAGTATGGGACTGGCATTTTGGTTTCAAAGATCTACAGAAAGATCACTTATTAGAATGACAAGAAATACAAGGGAATCAGTATGTTTAAATTACATGGTAGAGGGTAATTATAAACCCAAATTGGTGATTAAAACCATTAAAAGAAAATCAAATGTCAAATTTGAGAATAATATTAACTGGTTTCAGTGTAAAAATTATTATTTATACAGTAAAATTATTTTTATCATTATTATTATAATTATTATAAAATCAAACCAAATATCTCACCCTTACAAGATCAGAGTCGTCTCTCTTGTCACTTTTTTTTCCTGGCAAAGGTGAAGACATTGTGTAATCTTCATTTTCACTGTGATCCATTTCAGAGCTATCAAGCCTTTTAATATAGACATTTATAATCATTATTACAATGAAATAACTTAAAAGCTTTTTCTGTTCCCTAGTGTAGCTTTATAGCTTTATGAGGAAGTTTCATTCTTTTCAAAAAAGTATCCATTTTATTCGATCATATTTAGCAACAAACCAACAAGCAATGAATCACATTTAATTTAACATAATAGGGAAACTTTAAAAATCACAAGTTTAGTTTTTATCCTAAGTCTTTTTAAAAACTAAATTCTCTTTTGGATTGGGCACATAAAGTAAATTAAAATATTTCTTGTTAGCAAGTTGAATTGGCCTATATTACTACAATCTGCACTGTCCCCTATCTCTCTCATATCCCCATTCCACTTTTTCTTCTCTGTACTCTTAACACCCTCTAACACAATAAAGTTATTATGTTTATTCTCTACTAATCTTCCCCTGCTAGAATGTAAGCATGGATCTTTGGTCAACTGTACTGAGCAATTTATACTAAGCACTTATACCAGTGCCAGGCATAAAGTAGGCATTCAATTAATACTTACTAAATGAATTAATAGCACATGCTCTCATTTATTGGTATAAAGGCTGTCTTCTGTCCTAGGTGATCACATCCTTAATCTGGCTTTAAAAACCATTTAAACATTGTTAAATCCTAAATCTCAATCTCTGACCCAGAAGCTACCCTGAGCTCTAGACTCACATATCCAATTGCCCACTCACTTGAATTTCTAATGGGCATCTCAACTTTAAACAGCCAAAACAGTCATTTGGACACTCCTCTTTTCCACATCTCCCCAGAGACAGACAGACAGACAGACAGACACACACACACAGACACACACACACACAGAGCCTGTTCCTCCTCAAAGGCTTCTACATCTCAGTAAATGGCACCACCACCTATATAAATACTCAGGCAAAACACCGAGGATACATCCTTTTTTTTTTAAAGATTTTATTTACTTATTTGACAGAGAGATAGGAGAGAGCACAAGTAGGCAGAGCAGCAGGCAGAGAGGCAGAGGGAGAAGCAGGCTCTCCGCCAAGCAGGAAGCCCGATGCGGGGCTCAATCCTAGAACCCTGGGATCATGACCTGAGTGGAAGGCAGACGCCTAACTGACCGAGCGACCCAGGTGCCCCCCTAGGATACATCCTTAAATATTCCCTTTCTGTAACTATTCACATCTAACCCATCAGCAAGACTATTTGGATCTACCATCAAAATAAATCCTAAATTTGACTATTTACCATCTTCTTCCCAGTTTATCCCTTCCCTGAAGTACTATTAGCTGACTGACTCCTAACTGGTTTTTCTACCTCAATTCTAGTTCCTCTATTCTCCACAATCAAGGCAATCTAATAAAAGTACAAATCAGATCACCAGGCTCCACAGCAGTATCTTAGCAGAGGGGGAAGAGTCGAAAACAATACTGAGGCTCTTAGCCTAAATGACTGGGTGAATTAGATCTTTGATTATAACCACGAATTCGACAAGAAAAACCAGGAATTTAGGAAATGAGTTGCTGGAAATGTTTTGGTAATGCTAAGTAGGAGGCCATCCATTAGAAAATGTCCAAATGATAGAGGTGAACGGTCACTTAGGTATCAGCCACTAATATGTATTAATACAGGAATCTAAAACAAGAGCTACAAGTGTAATTTTTTTCAATTTCTACTATATATCACTTGACAATTTATTCATTACAAGGAAATTGATAAGAAATTTCAGAATGTCTCCTTTCTTTATTGACTGGTTATAAACAATACAAAAGACAGCACAGTCTTTGCTAAAAACTAAGCAAAATCAATACACAGTGGCAGTTAAGCCCCGTGCAAGGTTCTGCTGCTAACAAACGGTGTACAAAGCACTATGCTAAAACTAGTGAAAATGTGAATTCTTTTCTTCTTTCTTAAAAAGAAAAATCTGCAGAGCGTGATTTGAAAGTACAATTTTAAAACAATTTTTTAAACAAAAAAGTTTATACATGTACACAGGAAAAAGAAATTCAAACCAAAGAGTATATAAAATGATCTCCCTCCTACACTAGATTACCATAAGATGTTGTGTAGTCTTCCAGAAACTTTCTATGCATATAAAAGCCAATGTGAATACAAATCCTTTCTAAAAACTTGAAAGTACTATAATACTGTTCTATTCTTTGCCTTTTTACTCAATAATGTATTGTCAAAATAATTCATATTAGCTCATACCTCATCATTTTTAATGATTATGTATTCCATTATACAGATGTACCATAATATAACAGTTTTACAACAGCTAGACATTTAGCTTATGTCTACCAACACAGGCTATACTAACAAGCTAAAATATGAAAGGCTAAGATGGAGTGCCTATCTAAAATAAGAGAGCAAATAAGTAAGAACTTGTAAATGGCTACCAGTGTTACATGGGAATGTTCAGCTATGCACTGATTTCCATTCACTGACATTAAATGTTTTGGGTTACATTATTTTAGATCTCATTGCCTTGCTGGAATCCTTAAATGTAAAGTATGATATTAGGTTCTTACCTCCCTTTTATTCTTCCAGGAGAGCTTGGATTTGAGCTGCTGCTTGCATTGCTTACAGTTTCCATTCGTGATGACTTTGTCTGAGATTGCTTGCCAGCTGATGAAAGTGGCTTATTAACAGCTCCTAGTACATTGGTTGTTTTAGGCTGAAATGAAAAATGCGTATCTCTTTCTATTTGATTAAAGCCAAGAGAAATTTACATGTAAAGAGCCATAAAAAATATCTGTCGAAGTGTTTACATACAAATCATACACACAAACATGCCTATCCTTAAACAAAATAAGGATTATGAATTGAATATCACTTGTACAAGTGAAAAACTATACAGATGGCATAACAGTTAAGTTTTTTAGCTATCTGAAGGAAAAGGCTTACATAGAAAGTGAGAACAAATAAAATGTGCAGTCAACAAAAATAGATAATCAGACTCTTGCTCTGGAAGGACATAAGAAGATGTTTTTAACTTTAAGACTTTTTTTCTTGATATTACAGGATAAGATATTTAAGGATCAAGGTCTCCAGGGCTTTATTATAAGTTACAAAATAAGTTCATGTATCTCAGCTTGCATCTATACAGTAAATATAATTATTTCTAACTAGCAAATGGAAGATGCCTAATAATTATATTTTTTATCTTAAGATATATCAATTTTAAAGAAATACAAAATAACATAGTTATGCCAATAATCATACTAAAATAAACTACCACATAAAAATTAGAATGACTCTCAAAACGTACTTTTCCAGGAGTGAAAAACGATTTCATTTCTGGAGGCAGATAATTTTTGGTGTTACTGAAATTCTACAAGCAAGGGAAAAAGTTGCAGTCAGTGAATACTGAAACACTATACATGAGGTGGTTCGAAGCCAACAAAGCATACAACAGCTTTTGTTTCACAGTACATAATAAAATACATATTTAAATAATCAGTCTAACACAAAATTTCAGTCACTGATTTTAAATACTGTAATAAGGGTGGCTCAGGTGGTTAAGCGTCTGACTCTTGATTTCAGTTCAGGTCATGATCTCAGGGTTTTGAGATCGAGCCGTGCCATGTGAGCCTGCTTAAAGATTCTCTTTCTCCCTCTCCCTCTGTCCCTCCCCTCCCCTAAAAATAAATAAATAAATACTGTAATAAGTTTAAACTAATCTCATACCAACTCCAATATTAACAAAACATATTTGTACTCTAACATGTTAGAGCTCTGTAAGCTCATCAGAAAACCATGCTTCTATAACAATACTCTCCAGAGAAGAGACCACATATACTCCTGTTACCTTATTCACAACAAGGTAAAAACAGACAGTCCCTTTTAGCTACTGGGTGAGCCTACATACAAGGCTGTTGTAAATCACTATACACTGGTTAAACTTTCATTAGTATTTTACTTAAAAACAAACATAAAAACAAAAACAGTACTGGTAGTTTCCATACTCTCAGTCAATAGGCTTAGGTGCATTGTGAATCTCTAAGAACGATTCTGGAAAACACCTATTGTATCTTGAGTTTTGTAAAAGTGGTTTAGGAACATTTTTGTAATGCTCCCTGGGTCTTGAACCTGTTCCTGTATCAGTTCTCTGCTTGTTTCTTCATACCAGTTATGAATCTCAATCAAGGCTTATAACTTCAGACTGTGTCTCTATCAGCATTCTCCTTCCCATTTTGGATCAATGGCCAATAACGACAGCTCTACATGCTTTGATCACATTTCTGCCTGAACTCACACACTGGCATAAAACTCTGAATGCAAACTCTAGATCATCTTAATTAATCTCTGAACCTTATTTGTGTCCTCTAGTTTGGCCCATATTCTAGTCTTGAACCACATTAGTAAGACTCATAGTGACTTTTCCATGACATTAGTAGAACGCTCTTGATCCTGAAATCTTCCCATAACCTAGGGCTGAGAATACATTTCATTTCAATCTATACAAACAAAATCTACAATAACTACCTTGTCAGGTTGGGTGAAAAAACGAGCTGGTAGTACTGGGTCTTTAGGAGATTCCAAACTGTATGTGGTGCTCTTTGACATGATGATATTCATGGCAACATCACACACAGTATACAGTTTCTGCAATAGTATTAAAAAAAATTAGATACTTAAGGTGGCATCCTCGACTCTGTGAATTAGGAGTAATTCTAGAACATGCAGTCAGTACAGGCGTACCTCAGAGATACTGCGGATTCAGCTTTAAAGCACCACAATAAAGCAAATGTTGTAATTAAGTGAGTCAAATTAATTTTTTAGCTTCCCAGTGCATATAAAAGTTATGTTTACACTATACTATAGTCCACTGAGTGTGCAATAGCATTATGTCTAAAAAACAATGTACAGTGTAATTATAGTACAAGTAATTAAAAAATATTTTATTGCAGGGGTGCCTGGGTGGCTCAGTCAGCTGAGTATCTGACTCTTGATCTCAGCTCAGGTCTTGATCTCAGGGTCATGAGTTCAAGCACCGCACCAAGCTCCATACTGGGCATGGAGCCTAGATAGATAGATAGATAGATAGATAGATAGATAGATAGATAGATAGATAGATGATAGATAGATAGATAGATAGATAGATAGATAGATAGATAGATAGATAGGTAAATAAATAATTTTAGAAAAATTTACTGCTGAAAATGCTAACCATCATCTGAGCTTTCAGTGACTTGCTACGTTTTTGCTGGTAGAGAGTCTTGCCTCAATGTTGATGGCTGCTGATGATCAGAGTGGTGGTTGCTGAACTGTGGTCATTTCTTAAAACGAGACAATAATGAAGTTTGCTGCATTGACTGACTCTTCCTTTCATGAACAATTTCTCTGTAGCGTGTGATGCTGTTTGACAGCATTTTACCCACAGAAGAACTTTCAAAATTAGAGTCAATCTTCTCAGACCTTACTCCTATTTTATCAACTAAGTTTTTGTAATACACTAAATCCTTTGTTGTCATTTCAACAATCTTCACAGCATCTTCACCAGGAGTAGTTTCCATCTCAGGAAACCACTTTCTTTGCTAATCCATCACAGGCAACTCCTAATTCATTAAAGTTTCATCATGAAATTGCAGCAATTCAGTCACATCTTTAGGCTCCATTGCTAAGTTCTCTTGCTATTTCTACCACATCTGTAGTTACTGCAGCCAAGGAAGTCCTGAACCCCTCAGTCATTCACGAGGGCTGGAATACACTTCTTTAAAACTCCACTCCATGTCGATAATGTGACTCCTTCTCACGAATCATAAATGTTCTTAATGGATGTAAAATGGAGAATCCTTTCCAGGTTTTCAATCGACTTTACCCAAACTTATCAGAAGAATCACAATCTATGGCAGCTATACCCTTATAAAATGTACTTCTTAAATAGTAAGACTTAAAAGTCGAAATTATTCCTTGATCCATGGGTTACAGAATGGATGCTGTGTTAGCAGGCATGAAAACAGCATTAATGTCATTGTATATCTCTGTCAGAGCTTTTGGATGAACCAGTGCATTAGCAACAAGAAGTAAGATTTTGAAAGGAATCTTTCTTTCTTAGCAGATCTCAACTATGGGCTTAAAATATTCAGTAAACCATGTTGTAAACAGATGTGCTGCTATGCAGGCTTTGTTGTTCTATTTATAGAGCACACAGAGTAAATTTAGCGTAATTCGTAAGAGCCCTAGGATTTTCAGAATGGCACAAGAGCACTGGCTTCAGCTTCAAGTCACCACCTGCATTAGCCCCTAACAAGAGAGTCAGCCTGTCCTTTGAACTTTGAAGCCAGGTACTGACTTCTCTCTAGCTATGAAAGTCCTCGATGGCATCTTCTTGCAAAAGAAGGCTGTTTTATCTACATTGAAAAACCGCTGTTTAGAGTAATCACCTTCATTAATTACCTTAGCTAGGTCTTCTGGGTAACTTGCTGCAGCTTCTTTATCAGCACCTGCTGCTTCACCTTGTGCTTTCTGTTGTGGAGCTGGCTTCTTTCCTTCAACCTCATGAACCAACCTCTGTTAGCTTCTGCTTTCTTCTGCAGTTTCCTCACCTCTCTCAGCCCTCACAGAATTAGAGAGTTAGGGCCTCGCTCTGGATTAGGCTTTGGCTTAAGGGAATGTTATCACTGGTTTGATCTCCTATTCAGGCCAAACTTTCTCTGTATCAGCAATACGGCTGTTTTGCTTTCTTATCATTTGTGGTTTTCACTGGAGTAGCACTTTTAATTTCCTTCAAAAACTTTTCCTTTGCGTGCACAAGTTGGCTAACCATTTGGCAAAAGAGACCTAGCTTTCAGCCTATCTCAGTTTCTACATGCCTTCCTCACCAAACTTCATCATTTCTAGCTTTTGATTTAAAGTAAGAGACATGTGGCTCTTCCTTTCACTTGGAACACTTAGAGGCCACTGTAGGGTTCTTAATTGACTAATTTCAGTATTGTTATGTCTCAGGGAACAGGGAAGCCTGAGAACAGGGAGAAATATGGGGGGACGGCTGCTGGATAGAGCAGTCAGAACATACACAACATCCGTCAATTAAGTTTGCCATCTTAGGTGGGTACAGTTTGTGGCACCCCAAAACAATTACAATAGTTGACATCAAAGATCACTGATCTCAGTTTACCATAACATAAACAGTAGCAATGAAAAAGTTTGAAATACTTGTTGAAATGTGACACAGAGACACGAAATAAGCAAATGCTGTTGGAAAATGATGCCACGAGACTTGCTCAGTGCAGGGTTGCCACAAGCCTTCAACTTGTAAAAACGATGCAATTAGCTGCAAAGCACATTAAGGTTATGACTATATGCAGTTTTCAGTACAACAGTGTAAGTCAAACTATTATGTTCATTATTTCCTTGTAACAGCACTACCACTAATTTCCATATTAGTAATTCTACATCGGTAATTCAAACTACTAATAGAAATACTAATTACTAAATACTAATAAAAAGACTTGATAATGTCTATACATACTACAGAAGTAGCATATCCACACTAGAATGCTTATATCAACATGGAATCATAATTATTCAAAAAGAATTACATACTTCATTCATTTTTGCATCATCTGGTCCTTGGGCATCTTTTGTTTGTTTAATATTTTCTACCATCTTTCTGATAAATGCATGACTGTTATTTTCATTTTTAGCCATTAATATTTCTAGAACGAACCAAAGACATCTAAAAAAAGGAGGGGGGAGAAAAAGAAATGAAGTGGAAAAAACTGGTTGCTTAATATAGATACAATAATTCCAAATATAAATACAATAAACTCCACAAAAGGAAAAAATTAAAAAGAGAAAACTACCCATCAATCAACAGAGAAAAAAAGGTATGTCACACATACATATCATAACTTATCAACAATGTAGGTGTGAATTCATAAGACCCCTTCCCCAAAATTCACTAATGTTCCCAAGGAGGCAGGTTAAAAAAGAACTTAAGTGGTGGAGCGAATGAAGTGATCCTAACTCCTAGCAATGATTGGGAGGGAAGAGACTGCCTCAAGTAATAACTGGGCCCTGGATAAAATGAAGCCTCAAAGGTAGCGGGAGGGGAAGAATGAAGCGGGGGAAATCGGAGGGGGAGACGAACCATGAGAGACGATGGACTCTGAAAAACAAACAGGGTTCTAGAGGGGAGGGGGGTGGGAGGATGGGTTAGCCTGGTGGTGGGTATTGAGGAGGGCACATTCTGCATGGAGCACTGGGTGTTATGCACAAACAATGAATCATGGAACACTTCATCTAAAACTAATGATGTAATGTATGGGGATTAACATAAGAACAAAAAATTAAAAAAAAAAAAAATGAAGCCTCAAATACTCAAGACTGACTGCAATCCTGATTGGAAGTTTTCAAGAAAATAGAACTACCCCACTCAGTAGTAAAGAATCTCCATGAATAAGTTAGAGAAGAAAAAGTCATGGCTGACAACTACACATACTGTCTTTGCTTAAAGAGGGAAAAATTAAAAGGAAGTTTCACTAGCTAAAGTTATTTACATAAAACTCTATTCCAGAACAAACCAAAAGTGCTTTATCACTTTACAGACAGAATGGGACAGGGTTTTAGCACAGAGGAGAAAAGTAAGGAAGAAGAGAGAAATGTGAAGCAAGGTATCATTCTAGAAGGGGAAAAATAACCTTAAGGATCTCAGGTATAGGATAAGTTCTCCTGGAGTAGCTCTCTGACAGAATGGGGAGATTACTCATGGCTATACTGGGGCAATTTAAAAATAAACCAAATGTTTAGTAAGTTCTGAAGAACATTAAATGTATTTCAAAAACCAAAGTTTTCTGAGAAAGTGGGGTGGTTAAAAGTTTTCATTAGTTACAATCACTCTAACGCAGAACTCATTTTGGGAGAATTGCTTGTGTTTAAAAAAACAGAAACTGTGGCTTTTCCCTTGCCATGAGAAAGTTATAAGTAATTTGATTTTATTCTCTTAAGGCACCTCAAATATTTAACTATAAAATATTTCTATGAACTAAGAAACCAGCAGTTATTTTAACAGGAAGCTAAAGGCATAATAATTTCATTTATTCAAAACCACAATGGTAATCCTTTATTATAGCAGAAAGAGAACTAGGGTCTCAAACTTAAAGAACTATGCTGGTGTTATAAAGACTTCTCTAAACACCATTATATTTCCCTATTCCACACCCAGGCATAGATGGTTTTTTGGCCTCTCAACAATAATCTTTGAAAGAATTACAAGTGTCATAAACTTGAAATAGAGAATCACCAATGAAGTCGTAAGTGGGGTAGTTCCCTGGTTACCAACTTGGCCCGTTATTAAATTAGACCATTCTCTCTTCCTACAGAGGAAGACAGTTACTGCAAAGAAAAAGTGCTATGTGAATAAAGCCCACATGAAAATCCAGAGCTGCAGAAGAAAGTAGGAAAAGACAGGAACTAGAACAGAAGCTTTTAATGGACTGCATCCTAGAAAAGAAATGCTAGAACGGTAGAGAAACAGAATAGTAGTACAGTAATTGTGCTAAATTAAGTTTTGGGAAGTCACATAGGAAATGAAATATGAAGAGATGGTATGAAAAAAGAAAAACAAGAGAATAAGGGAAAGAACCTTAAACTCCTAAGAAATTAAATAAATCTAATAAACTAATTATAATGGAGATTCCATTATCAGCAGCGAAGAAAAAAAACTTCAGAAAACATGAAAATGGGATGAAAAAGTCTTACTCTTTAACATCTTTAAGTTGTTCAATATCCTGTACTTTGACATAATCTGGGTCATGTGCCAAAAGGTGAATTGTATAAGGAACAACATATTCTGGTAGAAGAGACAATAATTTTTCTGAAAAAGAAAAAAACAAGACAAAACAAAAATATCCAGGTTGTTAGAAAACCAAATCTTACTCTTTCTGTCTGACTCTGATACCATATTTCCTGCATTCCAATAGTTTACCCACATGGTAGAAGAAAAATATACTGAAATGTCTAGTGTTGAGGAACATCAAAAACAAGGTTATTTACTCATCCACCACATCCAATATTGAAATGCCTACTAAATGCACCATTTGTTGAGGCTATAAAGACACATATTTTCATTTTCAAATGCACATGGTAAAAAGTGACCAGAACAAACTATCCAAGACTAAGAAATTAAGAAACATAAGATCCATTTTTCTTATTATGAGCAACCGTATGTTTAAGACTCCCTTAAGCTGCTAAGCAAAAATATGATACATCTTTCAATGTTAATACTGCACAAATATAGGATGATTGATACTATTTGATAATAATATAGATGAGATAAAGTGAGCAGATTAAAAACAGGCACACAAGCACCTGATACTAACATCAGCTCCAGGTGAGAATGATGAAAAATGAAAGACCTGTACTTTTTTAATCTAAAAGACAGTACTTAAGACAATCTTTATATGTATTATCTGTATTTTACTGTTTTATTTAAAGTATCTCCAGTGTCAGTGCTTATTTTCCTTAGCCATTTAGTCAGTTATACAGAGATATGGGTTGCTATTTAAATACCTATGCATTTATATTTTAAAAATGACCTTTTTTAAAGGAAAGCAGTTACTGAAAAATAGTAACAACCTTATTATTTAACGACTCCCGATTAGACAATAATAAATAACAGTAACATCATTTTGTATTCTATAAAACTGAAACTGGCTAGAAAAGTATACTTTTCATTTTCATATATGCTTACCACTAACAGCTGCATGCTGCTTCAGATACTCGCGTCTCACATTTATATTTTTTACCAGACACTGCCTAGCATGAGCTCTTCTCTCTTTTACAGGATCTTTTGCACAAAGTGCACAGATTGCCATATACTCAAGTGGAAGCCGTAATCGGGAAAGGCCTTTGTGAAGTTTCTGAGCAAACACTTGTCTTACTTGATAGCATTCATCCTGTAAAGACATAATTATTCCACAGATTACTCATATGGCAGCAAAGAGTAAGTAAAACCCCAAATACAAAATTTGAAGGGTAAAGGAGACTAAGTGTATTCACAATCATTGCTTCTGCTCACAAGACTGAGATGTTGTGATATGTTAATTTCAAGGCTGGAGTGTAATTACCTGGACCCTAATTAGTAACTACCAGTTACATGTGTTAGAAAATAATGTACTTTTTTTTTTTTTTTAGATTTTATTTATTCATTTGAGACACAGATACAGAGAGAGAGACAGAGAGAGCATGAACAGGGGGAGAGGCAGAGGGAGAGGAAGAAGCAGGCTCCCTGCTGAGCCAGGAGCCTGATGTGGGGCTTGATCCCAGGACCCCGGGGTCATGACCTGAGCCAAAGGCAGATGCTTAACCGACTGAGCCACCCAGGTGCCCTGAATGTACTTTTAAAACAGATAAAACTAGTACATATAAATCCATCCTAAGTTAAGGTATTAAAAATAGTTTAAACAGTATCTCATATTAGGCTACCTCAGTTACTGAGCAAGATAAAACTCTGTCCAATTTATATATTTTAGATTTTCGTATATTTTGCATTTTCAGATTAAAATGCACAACTCTCATCAATTTCAGAAACACCAAATTACTTTCAGTTCTATAAATAAACCAACTGTTCATTACCGCTGTGCCTGTTTCCCTCATACTCCCTCTCCTAAACCACCCACCTCCATTCTCCTAACCAACTCCTCCTCAACTCTAACAATGGCTCCTCTAGCTTCAGAAATCATTGTGGAGTCTTTATCAGGCATCCAGCTCTGTGCCCTCTTAGCATTCTACGTATATCTCCAGCATAGCATTTACTATACAGTATTAAAATATTGGTTTATAGGTCTTACCTATCACTGCTCATTCCGTAAAGACAAGAACTATATCTTTATTCACCTTTGTGCCTCTAAACTTAGCACAATATTTGATATACAGATTATCTGTGGAATAAACTATAGGACAAAGTTCAATATGATATTTAAGTCATATATGAGACATACAAAGATCTTCTATAGACATACAAAGACCTTCATAATTACACCTTACCCTCCACCAATTAACACAAAGTGTGGTATGTTTCATATTATTGCAATGTTATGTATACTATTTCTACTATCTATAATGTTCATTTGGTTTTTCTTCAAAACCTAGGTCATAACATCTTGCACTTTTTTAATTTTTTTTTATTATTTTTTTATTCTTATGTTAATCCCCATACATTACATCATTAGTTTTAGATGAAGTGTTCCATGATTCATTGTTTGTGCATAACACCCAGTGCTCTATGCAGAATGTGCCCTCCTCAATACCCACCACCAGGCTAACCCATCCTCCCGCCCCCTCCCCTCTAGAACCCTCAGTTTGTTTTTCAGAGTCCATTGTCTCTCATGGTTCGTCTACCCCTCCGATTTCCCCCGCTTCATTCTTCCCCTCCCGCTACCTTCTTCTTCTTCTTTTTCTTAACATATATTCTTGCACTTATTTTTAAATCCTTATTTTGTATATCTTCTTTCATTTAATTTAAACTTCAGTTTATTTTCTCCCAAATAAATAAAATCTTTTTTAAAATTTATATGTATAAACATATATTTATATATAAAAATTATATGTAAATTTATATTTATATATAAATAAAATAGTTATACATAAAATTATATTTATATATATTACATATAAATATATATATGTGTGTGTGTATATATATATATATAATAAATATATATATATATATATATATATATATATATATATATATATATATATATATATAAAGAAAATAATGGGCACCTGGATGGCTCAGTCAGTTAAGCATCTGCCTTTAGTTCAGGTCATGATCTTGGGATCCTGGGATCAAGCCCCTTGTCTGTCAGACTTTCTGCTCAGCAGGGAGTCTGCTTCTACCCTCTCCTTCTCCCCTATGCTGGTGCTCGCTCTCTCTCTCTCTCCTCAAATAAATAAAATCTTTTTTAAAAATTATATAAAAAATATAAATTTCAGTTTATTACACCAAATACTTTTTAGAAAGCATTCTAGCTTTCGTAGAAATATTATCTATTATCTACCCTCATACTCAACAAAATAAAGTTAATGTTAACTCATTCCTTCCTCAGTATTAAAATTCCCATGAGGGAAAGGAATCTTCATTATCTGATTATTTACCATGAAAACTGTATAAGTGAACATATCACAAATATATTCACAAATGAGCATACCATTCATTAAAAAATTAATTTCCCCAACACATCCCTCCCCCCATTCAGATACATTCCCAACCAAGACCATGTCTGTCACTTTCTCACAAATCATTCAGGATCTAACAAAGCAAATTAATATGGCAAAGGTAGTAAGAGTCCAAAAAGTCATTAAAGTGAAGTTAGAGAGGAACTGCTAAATCATTTGCAAGCAACTGACACAGTAGTAAAAGATGAGAAAATTGACAAGAATGATGACAAACAGATACATCAAACAGAATCATCTGAATAAAGATTTAAAAGATGAGTTCCTAGGAACTGAGGAAGTCTTCAAATGTTTATTTTGTTTTTTGCAAAGATGATTACCCTTTTCACTATGTTATAAAAGTTAAATGTGAAGTACAGGATAGAGTAATACAATTTTTATCAGAAAAAATATACTCTCAGAAAAGTAAACACTTAATACTTTCATGGTTATGGTTATAACCAATATTTGGTTCAATATAAGGAAAAAAGAAGATAGTGTCTAATACTACAAAATATTTTCCTCCAAGATAAAGTTCCAATTAAAAGCTTTTATTCACTACTAACTGTGAAATTAATTTTAGTCTGCATCTTATGTAAATTCACTTTTAGTGGCCTTTTCTAATACAAATTATCCACAAAACTACTGATGGTATCTTGCAAATAATTCAATTATTTTGTGTATCACACTGTATTATCAACACTTATTTATATTTTCTGTTCTCCTAAGAAGTTATGTTCTTGAGGGCAGTAGCCATGACTCACTCATCTCTGTATTTACAGAACCTAGAACAACGTACAGCACACAGTTCATGAATTGCATTCAAATTATAAAATACTCAGCTAATTCTTAAATAACAGTAAGATTTGTATTACTGAATTTCTATTTCTCCAGGTTTGCTTTCTATTCAGATATATAACAAAGGCCTCTGAGATACAATACTCCTCTAAAGAGCTCAACTCAAGTAAGAGAAATAAACCACAGGTACATAAATAAAAAAAGCACAAGGCATGTATGTATCAGAGGACTGTAGATAAAATCTGTGGGGAATAAAAATGAGACCAGCTGTAAGAATCTGAGCAAGTTTTGTGGAGAAGTTTGTGTTTAAGCCTTGATTTGCAAAAAGGGTAGGATTTGGATGTGTAGAAATAGGAGGGCGAGAAGAAAGCCAGAGTCAGGAAACTACAGGCACATAAAAGAAAAAAATTATTCAGCTTCACTGACATGAGGGTAGATAAGGGTAGTGGGTTAAAAATGTATATTTGGGTCGACAAATTAGAAGGGCTCAAATGGCCAAGCTGTAAAATATATGCATTTTTTTCTTTTTTACAAGTATAAGGTCCTAAATATTTTCTTTTAAGATTTTATTTATTTGACAGAGAGAAAGAGACAGCAAGAGAGGGAACACGAGCAAGGTGAGTGTGAGAGGAAAAAGCAGGCTTCCCACTGAGCAGCGTCCCCAGGACCCTGGAATCATGACCTGAGCCGAAGGCAGACACTTAACGGCTGAGTCACCCAGGCGCCCCAAGGTCCTAAAAATTTTTGCCTGGGGGAATAATATGATTGGAACTGTGATAGGGAAATTTAACTCACAGTGGAGAAGAAAAGTCTCACAATAGTCTAGGTCAGAGCTAATGATGATTATGGTGGTTAAGAATAGTTAAGAAGATATGAATGAAAAGATATAATAAGTATAGGACAGATTATCTGCACTTTTGCAACAAGGTGCAAGGACAAGCAAATAGTCAAAAATAAATCATGCTTTTCAATCTAAGAATGCCATTTGGATTTATTTAACACTTACAGAGGCTCTACATCTCAATAAAGAATAGATTTAGGAAAGATTATGAATTTAGTCTTCACATTCACAGAACACAAAAGTTTGAAATTTCTGTTTAACCTAGAAGTGGGGCCAGACTCTGACTTGAAAAAAGCTAATGTTGCTAGTATGGGAGTCATCTACATAGACAATACGACGGCCAAAAAAGAAATGTGTAAGTGGAAAATTTAGTCATGGGCAGATCCACATAGAAAACATATATTTACAGGGGTGCCGGGGTGGCTCAGTTGACTGAGCGTCTGCCTTTGGCTCAGGCTCAGGTCATGCTCTTGGGGTCCTGGAATCGAGCCCCACATCAGGATGTTCCCTGCTCAGTGGGGAGCCTGCTTCTCCCTCTGCCCTTCCCCTCGCCCAATCATGCTCTTGGTCTCACTCTCTCTCAAATAAGTAAAATCTTTTAAAAAAGAAAGAAAACATACATTTAAAGCGAAGAAAAAAAACAACCAAAAATGTAGTCAGAGAAGTATGACAAAAATCAGGAGACAGAAACCGAGGAGAATTTCAAGAATAAAGATGCCATGAGCTCTGTCAAATAATGCAGAAAGGACATGTATAATGAAGACTAAGATACTGGATTTGAGGCCTTTAACAAAGCATTTTTGGAAAAAGAAGGAAGGCAAAAGCCAAAAGTATGAGTAATGAGGAGTGAGAGATAAAAGGGTAAGACAGACAAAGATATGGATTACTCTTTGAGGTTTGGAGGTTTAAAAAAAAGAGATAGGCATGTGGTATACAAGAACAGCAGAATTAGGGAAAGGTTTTGTTCAGAAGAGGGTAACTCCATGTCTGTAAGTTGTGAGAATATGCTAATAACTAACTTTTAACAATAAACATATGTTCCACAGTCAACAGAATTCAAAAACCATCTTAAAACTTAGGCAATTTGAACTTCCACCTTGG